TATTCGAGGGTCCCGAAGAGTCGCGTAATTGACACGCGAAATTGTCTCACGTGTTTGGGCTCCGGTTTATTTACTTCGAAACTTTCGAGCGTTCCCGGGGAGTTTCCGGTTTCAACGGTGCACCGAATCGAAGTTCCCGAGTCAGCAAACTCGCAGAGCAAAGCTCGCGACATCTGAAGTCTTAATGGATATTTCGGCGGAATAATTATCGCGAGAGAGAAGGGAGAAGACCGGCGAAATGATACTCGAATGCTGTCCCTGTACTTCGCGTCCGACGAAAATATGTTATTTTCGTTGTTTCCCACGATGCGAATTCACGACAGTCGTGCACATTAATGCTTCACGTTTCCACTCGCCGCGATTAGACTATGGATCTCATGGTACAAGCGGAACTTTGGTTTTTGGCTTCGTAGATTTACCTTGCTGAAATTGACGCTTTCAGTGTTGACTGAAATAAAAAAGTAGAAGTATCTTCTTCTTACGTTATTTGTACGAGTTTATATTATATTATATATCGGTTTTATTATTATTATTACCTTATATATATATATAATTATATAATTTTCAATATTTTTGGTTCACTAAAAGGCCTAGAACACGTATATATATATTTTAAGCCCTTCAGTGAACCAAAAATATTGAAAATTATACATTATACAAAACTTATACAAAACCATTATAGGATCGTAATAGTTGTGAAGGGTTTAAATTCTGAAACTGTACGAAAAGAAGGTCAGCGACCCGCATAATTTATTTACTATAATGAAAGCTTTATTTAATCAACTGAATTGGCTATAGTGAGCTTAATGGAGCTCTTACTTTAGCAAAGAGCGACGTCTTAGCGAAGTCTAAAAGTGAAGCGTGATTAGAGAAACAGCTATTTCTCATACAAAAAGATCATAAATTAAACAATGTGTCTCTAGTCAGCGATCTTGTAACAGCGATAAATACGACAACTTGCAACGCGTTAAAAGAGGAAGAAAAAGAACAGGATAAGCAAAAAGAATAGTTCGAGATAATTGAAAAGATATACGTACAATTTATTCAACGGATATGGAAAAAGATATTCACGTTCGAATTAATAAGCCGAGCATGACGTCTGCGAGTCCATTAATTATGTTTTGCATACGTCGATCAGTCTCGGGTTTTCAAGAGCCAGCAGCAAATACGTTCAGCGGAAGCGTTTATCTCGGTATGACTGGTTGTTTCTCGCGGAACGATAACTCGGCACCTTGTATCGGACAGGTTTTAGAAAACCGAGGCGCGTGCTTCAGATAAAGAATATCACGTTTTTATCTGCGCGGCGATCCGTCGATCAGCCGTTTAACGAGGAGAAAATGATTCGGGCCGGGGAGTCATTGGTTTCCTTACTCGCTCGTGAAATCCGTCCGAGGGAATTACATTTTATTAGAGGCCGGCCGACGGAAGTACCATCAAATTGTAACTACCACTGTAAAATACGAAGTTCCAGGCCGTAAAGCCGGATTACGATACGCGGTAATTATCCATTTTCATTGCGGACTGTGTCCGTTTTTATCCGTACGGCCCTAAAAATGAACGCGAACGCAGGCCGTCGCGTCGTGCAGCGCCGAGATTTTCGGTTCAGATTATAAGCGATCGCGCTCGTAAGTTCGTGACTTAAAACCTGCAAGAGCAGAGCTCCGTTTTACAATAAAAAAAGAAGAGAGAGAGAGAGAGAGAGACGAAGCTGCGGCGGTGCCGTCAGCGAGCGTTCCTATTTAGAGTTACAGCCTCGAGGCGGTAAAATTACGCACAGCTCGCAGAGGGATACACCGGGTGTGTAAAAATTAACGGCTCGTAACTGATCGTAATTATTCATGAACACCTCATTCGGATCAAGGATTAGGTAAATGGGATTCGGGACCAACATAGACACGAGTGTCTACAGTGGCAAGCGTCACCATTTCTACTTCATTTCGCATTCCCTTTATAGAAGTCTCCAGTCATGTCACTTTACAGAATCGGTGTTTCTGTAATTACCCTGTGCCCTCTAGTGTGCATTAATTTTTGTTCTCACTTTTACATGTATGTTTATTAATGTAAACACAATGTACAAATAAATGTAGAAATTAATATCTCTACATTTATTTATTTTTCCATTCATTTCTGCATTTACTTTTTACATTCACTTTCACGTTCGATTTTGAATTCATTTTTGCATTTATTTCTAATGAGAAATGTCTTTTATTTTGTGTTTAGAATGACTGTCTCTTTAAATGACGTTTATAATCTACAGCACAGTTGCAAGCTGTGTTCTAGTGTTTGCATTATAGTTTCACTTTTGCTGAATCAATGTTCTCATCTATTTTCACCGTGTTTGTTTGGTTATGACTATGGGGATGTACGCGATGGTGTTTGCTTTATCGATTCGCGTAATGCGTTCGGTTTACTAGGATTGTTTCGTCTACCACACTTTCTGTGCCATCTGTAATTGGTTGCTGGATGTTTGCACACGGTCTGACAGTAATTAATCTAGTTTCATACGATGTCCGATTTCACGGAACTACAGGATTGGAAATTTGTAAGCCACGTGCGCGATTGAGTAGATAATCTGCCGCGTCTGATCATGGAATACCTTATCTCCTTCCAGCCGATGCTCGCAAAGACAAGCCCTGTTAATATTCAAACCCAATTTTTCCCATGGAAACCCTTTGGTACTTGTTCAGATGTAGTATTCACAATTTTAACACATAACTATTCCGTTTGCAATGTAAATTTCGTGAACATATTTTCTGCTATACGACTAACAGCGTCGGTTGGCTAATAATCAAACAGAAATCTGAACAGTGTACATTGACCTAGAACGTCTTCTAAATGGCTGCCAGTTGTCAATAAACACGGAACACAGCGATCTATGTAAATCAAAATGAAATCTACAGNCGTTCCTATTTAGAGTTACAGCCTCGAGGCGGTAAAATTACGCACAGCTCGCAGAGGGATACACCGGGTGTGTAAAAATTAACGGCTCGTAACTGATCGTAATTATTCATGAACACCTCATTCGGATCAAGGATTAGGTAAATGGGATTCGGGACCAACATAGACACGAGTGTCTACAGTGGCAAGCGTCACCATTTCTACTTCATTTCGCATTCCCTTTATAGAAGTCTCCAGTCATGTCACTTTACAGAATCGGTGTTTCTGTAATTACCCTGTGCCCTCTAGTGTGCATTAATTTTTGTTCTCACTTTTACATGTATGTTTATTAATGTAAACACAATGTACAAATAAATGTAGAAATTAATATCTCTACATTTATTTATTTTTCCATTCATTTCTGCATTTACTTTTTACATTCACTTTCACGTTCGATTTTGAATTCATTTTTGCATTTATTTCTAATGAGAAATGTCTTTTATTTTGTGTTTAGAATGACTGTCTCTTTAAATGACGTTTATAATCTACAGCACAGTTGCAAGCTGTGTTCTAGTGTTTGCATTATAGTTTCACTTTTGCTGAATCAATGTTCTCATCTATTTTCACCGTGTTTGTTTGGTTATGACTATGGGGATGTACGCGATGGTGTTTGCTTTATCGATTCGCGTAATGCGTTCGGTTTACTAGGATTGTTTCGTCTACCACACTTTCTGTGCCATCTGTAATTGGTTGCTGGATGTTTGCACACGGTCTGACAGTAATTAATCTAGTTTCATACGATGTCCGATTTCACGGAACTACAGGATTGGAAATTTGTAAGCCACGTGCGCGATTGAGTAGATAATCTGCCGCGTCTGATCATGGAATACCTTATCTCCTTCCAGCCGATGCTCGCAAAGACAAGCCCTGTTAATATTCAAACCCAATTTTTCCCATGGAAACCCTTTGGTACTTGTTCAGATGTAGTATTCACAATTTTAACACATAACTATTCCGTTTGCAATGTAAATTTCGTGAACATATTTTCTGCTATACGACTAACAGCGTCGGTTGGCTAATAATCAAACAGAAATCTGAACAGTGTACATTGACCTAGAACGTCTTCTAAATGGCTGCCAGTTGTCAATAAACACGGAACACAGCGATCTATGTAAATCAAAATGAAATCTACAGGTATCTCGTGATAATTATTCCCGTCACAGAACTCCGAAACTGTTCGAACTCCTCGCACTACGATTTCTTTCACAACTGCGTCGATTAGCACTTCTTCGCTCTTAACGCTAAACTGACTAACGCGCGTTGCTTCATAAAAACGACAGGACTGAGTTTAGTTACACTGTTCGCTATTTTTCTTATACCGTATGCTTGATCAGAGGAACGTATTCGTAAATCATCATAATTACAGCAATTTGAAAATAACGCGAGCTCTACAATTTTCCCTGGCATGGTACTGTTAATCATTTCTCCCCCTCTAAAAGGTGGCAATTCTCGTTTTTGTGTCTTCCTTCACGCTCGCTTCTAGGCTTCGACAACAGAAGAGTCACCTTCTATGTCAATGTCGAAGAGACAAATACCATACATATTTAGTACATCGTGCACGAAACCGTTGAAATCGACCTTCGCAACACAAATCGAATCTACAGACCTCACTGCCTCTCAAATTTTCCCGGGAACACAAAAGCACCACATTTCAACCAGACAACGAATAAAAGATATTGTCACCGCCCAAACGAAAGCGTGGCATAGCATCCAAGATAACCTCCTATCTCCGCCACGTGGTGCGAGCGTGCAAGAGTACAGTGTGATCGACGCACAAGGGTCACCCGAAGATCTCCGCCGAGCACATTGGCTCGAGGCCGTGACTCGTGTTCTAATTCCGACTGTCACCGTTTTTAAATCCGCCGGTTACGCAACAGGCGGAAAGGAGAAAGCCCGAAACCCGTCGGCGGGGCGCCCTCTGCGCCCCGAAAATCCGCGCGCGGCTCCCCTCGCCCGTGGTCGTTACATCGCGATACAAGAACGTGTCGCGTTTTGAAACGATGTTGTTATCTAGAAGAAACCCGCGATGATAAACACTGCGAGACGGACTGGTCGCGAGCGCCGGTGAAGCCGGTAGTAGGATCGTGGCCGTTCGATCGTAAACACGGTCGCGTGTTATCGGAACGCGGCAGATAAGGATCGCGCGACGGTAGACGCAGCTGGTCCGATTCTGTCTGGCAGAGACTACTTAGTGCGATCGATCGTGGATCTTCATCGCGATCGTGGAGCGACAGTGAAAGTGCGAATCCGGTTTCGCTCGTCGTTCTCTCTCTTTTTCTCTCTCTCTCCTTCTTTCGCTGACGAGCAGCTGAAGGCGGCGAGTGCCGTCTGGCTGAGCAACGCGTTCCACGAGTGTGTGCGTTTGTATGTGGATCGGATCCGTGTGTGACCGTGTGCTGGTAGTACTGTGGACAGTGCGCGCGGTGCTCGTCGATCCTCGCCCGAGGTGCAACATGACGGCGGACCACGAGACTGAGAGCAAGGTGAGGCTGAGGAGGACCAAGAGCGTCACCAGGGCCGAGGAGATCCAGAAGGCCGAGATGCTGGTGCGCAGATCGCAGCCAGACAAAGCGTGAGTATTCCTGGGCTAGCTCTCCCGGTCATGGACTCGCTCTCGCAGCCTTCGGTCGCGCGTGCTGCTCCCGTTCCGCCCGTTCGAGCCCGGTTTTGGTGGCTCCTCGGTCCCGGCTCGAGTCCTCCGTCGCCGAGATTCGGTCCTGCGACGGATCCGACGGACACGGAATCGCGGACACACGAAATTTCCAGGCCCCAAGCAGACACGCCGAGGCGTTCGCCGACTTCACTGAGAACACGCATGCGCCGTTCTGGTGGATCGAGCGCAAAACCATGGTCGGGATTCCCCTTCTCGTGGCACCGTGCATTTCTCTTCTCGTTCCAGCCGACGATCCGCCGCGCCGCGCCGTTCTGTCGCGTGTCATAATCGATGCGGAGGTCAGCCGGCGGTAGCGCTCGTGTTTTCCATAGCTCGTTTCACAAGACCCGGTCCCGAGGCCTTCGACTTTATACCGAACTAACGAACCGACCGTCCAGACGGCCCGTCCTCGACGGACACCGCGCGGCAGACTCATCTGACCGACTGACTTAATTGGCCGCCACCGAAGATACCGCGCTCTCCGCCTGACCTATTTCCCTTTGGCCTGCTTCCGGACGAATTTTTCGGGAACCCGGCTCCGAGATACTCCAGCGTCTCGATCATCGATGACCGCGCGAATTTCGCCCGCGGTGCGCGGCGAACGATCGATCCATTGAGCAGTTAGAGCTTGGTTTACATTATTCAGGAGTGCTTGGGGGAGGGACAGGAAGCAGACGTAGAAAAACACCTTGTCGAAGTGGCTCATAATTTGCGACGATCATCTGCCGGATCGATTCGGTACACAAAACAATTTAGAGGAATTTGATGGGGTGGTTGGCATTGCTTTTTGAGTAGCTTTTTAAAATGTACGGTCTAATAATCGTAATAATAATTAATTAATAATAATAATAATTATCATTATTATTATAAATCGTCTAATATACAATACAATGCATTCTACAGTAATAAATTGTCTAATATATATTTGACGCTAATAAATTGTCTAAAATACATTCGATACTAACAAACTGCCTGATACACATTCTACAATAATAATAACTTGTTTAATGTATATTCTATAATAATAAATAGTTTATGATTCTACAGTCAAGCAAATTTTTATTATTCCATGGTGTTAACTCAACATTAAGAAAATGTATTTTGACAATAAAATGCCGAGAGACTAATCAAGTGAAGTTAATCTGCACATTCGGTGAATGGGTCATTTAACACGGTTCACTGGCTCTCAGTGATCGATTCTTGTACAGCGTCTTCTTGAGATAAATTACCACTGTATTCGAAAGTTTCGAGTTTAGTTCTGTGTTCTATTTTAGGGTTTCAGAAACTTACATCGAGGATAGCGAAATCTGTGGATTCTAGATAGCCCTATTGAAACTAGAGAGATCTAACAAGATCTGAAATTTGTGTACTATTTTCAACTTATTAAAATTATTAAAGAGAGAGAAAGAAAATTATACTTCGCTCAATTTGTCTTGTAATCGATGCAAAATATTTGTATCTCACATAAAGATTCGCGATACATTAATCACCGATCAGATTACTTTTTACCTAATTATTGTAAATCAGCTATAACAACCATCAGATTATAACAGTTGGTCGTTAATCAGATCACTTTTTGCCGAACTCCAGATCCACGGTAAAGAACGAAATCACGTACAGAATCGGGAACAATGCGACGCACGAAAAACCGTGCGCCCATAAACGTTTATCGCGTCGCTTAAATTAGTTCTGAAAGCTGCGCTCTATTATTATGTAACGGTCCGTACATCGCTGAACTCCGTTCCGCGCGGTATTTGTCAAAGCGCAGAAAGAGCTGCCACACGGTCGGTCAGTGTAATCATCGTGGCAAAACAAATTCCACGGAACCGCGAAGGTCGACCGCAGATAGCGCGAGAGTGTTGCGGCAAGAAACGAAGTCCGTCGAAAATTCTGCGAAACTCGTGACGTATCGGAAACACGAACACGAAATCGTTCCCGCCGCGGCGGGAAAGTTTGCTCATCGCAAAGAGGTGTAATCCCGATGCGATTCGCAAACGCATTCCTCGTCGATAAACCGGGTGGATCGGTTATGCGGAAACGACTAATATTTACGCTGACGTCGGCTATGCCAGTGTCTACACGCCGGGGGCGCGAGTGAATGGAGCAAAGTTCATTCACGGGAATGGACACTGCCCCGGAGAGCCGGGAATTGAATGCAGCCGCGAAAGCGAGCGAGCGAGCGCGTGGCGAAAACGAAAACTTTCTTAACGAGCTGTTCGCCGTTTCGAGAAACGCGGCTACGGCAGATCGGTGCAGAACAGTACGTCAAGAAAACACGGACGGAGATAATTCGTTCCCAGCGATGGCATAATTATCGAGTTTCATTCTACGCTCTACCATTTCCCTCTCTCTCTCTCTCTCTCTCTCTCTCTCTCTCTCTCTCTTTTCCTCTGTATTTCGCTCTCTGTCTTTCTCGTCCTCTTCAACGTCTACGGCAATAGTTCCGCTCCTTTACAGCAAAGTCACAGGGAAACTTATAGCGAGCACGAGGTTCACGGTGACACAGCCGCGTTCCCGTTCCCTGCTCAAAAACAATGGGAATGTCTGGCCGGAGTTACAGACAAAGTTTTATTCAACGTGACGAAGACGAACTGTTTCTGTTGCACGATCAATAAGATCCCGCTCGACTGTACGTAAACGACTCGGCTACGCTGAATTATGCCCGCTATTTATCATATTTCGTTGCTCCCTACCGCGTCGAGCCTCTGTTTTCCCAGGAATGTTTCACGCAATTAATATTCGCAACAAATTCTTACCAGCGCACAGCATCGCCTACTATCTCGGAGGAACATTCAGAAATTGTTGTTTAATTTTAAACTATTACTATCGTTTGCTTACCGACATCAGTTGTATTAGTTGTATTTTTTAGCCAACCTTGTTTTAAACCGTATTTTATTTCGTTATTATGAGTTTATTTGTTTTAGCGCGGTCGCGTTAATCATTAACGATCGCATGGCTTACGGTTAGCTGTGTATAAAGATCTATATTTTAGAGTACGATTAAAATTTATATTGACGTGGGAAAGACAGATTTATATTGACAAGAAAAAACTATAACGGCTGACATAGATTTAAGGATTTATAGCAGAGGAGGACGTTCTCTATGATGTCATCGTTTAGGTTGGACTTGAGGTCCCTCTTAATGGAGAATCTAGTTCGTTCAGGAAAAATCTGGGTCACTCAAGTAATGTGTGATGGATACTGATGAGCACGCTAGACAAAGTGCATTCAGGAGGACAGAAAGTCGATGATAAATCTTGAGTCTCCTGCTCGAATACGGGTAATTGCGACCTGATCTTTTCTAGAAATTAGGGGTCTTTTAAGGTTTCATAAATCATTTAAGCTTGGATTGCTATTAATCCAATTGGCACTCCATTTTATAATAGATTTTTTAACCCTTTGCACTCGAAGCTATTTTAGCTGTAAATCCAAAATAATTTTTTTAACTTATAGTATTTTTATTTTATATGACAAAGTGCATTTTGTGCATATGAAATTGACTCTTGTGACTCACACAAAAGTTAAATCTAAACTTTGTTAATCTAAAAATTATCTAAGAACGTGATGTGACAAATTTTAATGGTGCCTCGGAGTCACCACTCGAGTGCAAAGGGTTAACAGAGAATTTTGGCAGAATTCTGATAAAGGAAACGATGACCTAGAATGTCCAAATTATGTTCTCAAATTTTTGGGTCTCGATAGTATTGCTGGTTTTTGAGCGACAGTTGTTCGAAAGGGTTGAGAAAGGCCAGTAGAAATTTGTCTGTAATTCAACGGTATGTATCTGATTCAATCACGAATTCTGAATAATTTGGAGATCAGCATAAATCCGAGAATACCGAAACAGAAAATACTATATCAGAAGATAGCGACTGACACAAAATTGTAATTACTAATTTTATAATCTCCGAATACGTATCGACGTTTAGACATTTATGAGAGAGTAGTTCGATTGTTGTCCAAGCCTTTTCAATTCGGCCGCCCCGTGGATCGTGACAAATCAGTCTTACTTTGAACTCCAATTCGTTGGAAAAATTGTCCTGGTTAACTTCATCGCTCGCGATATTATTCGGGAGGGAGGGAGGGAGGGAGGTGACATGGTGGTAATATATCTTCATGAAGTTTTAGGGTCAGGTGTGAAAGCACCGCCGTTCCAACGCGCCCCGAATCTTAGCTTCTCGCACCGTCGTTTCATTATGATCTGTTTTCCTAAAAAAGACTTGATATTGATAGTCACAATGGCTGTCCACGCCATTAGTTTGGAGTGATCGCGGTCGGGTGGACAGCTATTAAGACTGATGGCGCGGATCTCTTATGTCCCGTCAGCCGAAACATCGTTCCTTCGATTTTCCATCGTTCCTTCACCAATGAATTCGCGATAACAATTCGACGAATTTCCGTATCGCTTCGAACGTAAAAACCGTTCGAAATCCCTCGCGCACTAATACAAAGCTACAATGATTTTTCTACGGTTCGACGAGAGGAGCTTCCCTTTATTATTCTATCTGCCGACTTTTGTAGAATTTTTCAGAGCAGAGTGCGCACGGACAGTTACAAAAACACCGGAATTCGAAAATAGAAGGGAAAAAAAAGGTTGCAGCCGGCTGCGACATGGTATTTTGTAAACTGCCATGTGGAATTTCACCGGACGGATCAAACATGAAGATTTGAAAGGGTACGACGCCCCCTCAAAAAAGAACGACTCGGCAAAAACGCTCCTAAAATTCTTAAAACTCTTTTTGTGAAGGAAGCAATAAACTGCCGTTCGATCTGAACCGTTGGAAATTCGTTTTCGTAGCTGGGAATTGCATCGGCGATGCATTCTTTTTTTTCGAGAAATCTGGGCCACGGTTGGTCAAAAAGAACAAACAGATAGAAGAATCGGACGCGAAGTGGCGGCGCAGATTTGTCGACTGAAAA